TCTCCTCTAATCCATGGTGTTTCTCCTATGCAACTGAAACAGGGTACGACTCAGATTGAGCTTCACTGTTTTTCATTTTGGCTCGACTAGTTTGACATGCGTCAACTAGCTCCGTAATATTTCTTGGCATATGAATTCCAGTCATTTCATCGGTTGAGTGGATGCTCCGCCTCTTCTCGTTTACATATTGCATGCATGGAACAATACACCTGCCGATGAATTTCTACTTCTTTGTTCGCTACTGGTTCTCTCCGTCCTACTCGTCTATTGCAGGTTGGTACTTCTATTACCTGTCTAAGGTAGTCAATTCTTCTGAGAGCTCTGCAGATGTAACACAGCTTTCTTCGGAACCTAGCTCAGATCAAAAACATCATCTGGTGAAAGTTCTAACGACACATCTCTTCACGCGGTTATAATCGAAAGGCAGCAACTTCTTGGTATGTGCTGACTTGTAAACACCTGTGACGTACCTTTTACCCTTTTTGTCAGTAATATGCTTAGAAAATATATGGAACAGAGCTGGTTTGTCACACCTAGCATTTCTAACTGGCTACTCCATATGAAAAAAATTAAACCGATCCACATTCCGTAAGGACTGTGAATGGAATTTGTTGTGCGAGTAACATGAAAGTTTTCATGAACGAAGAATGACAGCTCAGGAGGGGGGACACTTGCTAGTAAGCGCAGCATAAAATTATCGTCGAATACTCGAGCATTCGTTTTATGGCATTGATCACTTTGAGAATACAACTTCGAATGCGCGTCCATCGCTTCTTGCAACATATCATTTCACTATCGCAGCCGTTTCAGAATTGCATTACGTTTACGGTCGAATTCGTAGCGATCAAAGATGCTTTCTCCGACTATCGACTACTATCACTCCACACTAATTTCAATAAGCCTTTTGCGCAATCATGCATCTACAAATAGCACGTTTCCAAGAGTTTCAACATTCAAATTCAGCTACTTATCCGTAGCTTTCAGCCAATAAACAGCAGTAAAAAAGTGAAAAAATTGTTATTATAAGCATTTTCAACAAATTTGCACATAAAAACACACCGTTATGAACTGTGCTTGAAATCTGCAACTATAGAAAAAAACAGCTATAACAATAAATTAAAATACATTGATTTTTATCAATAATGCAATTCTGTAGATAAGCTCTTTGTCTTTGAGAGACGGCTATCTTTGATATTCGGCCGAAGGTTTCACGATACAATCTGCAAAACAAAAGCATCAACCAATGGCAAGGCCATCTCGATGGCGTACGTAAACATCGACATCAAATTTTTAAACTTGACTAAAAAACGCATTTAGTTGTTGACTTGTCAGCGAATCGATCAAAACGACAAATTTACAAAAGCTTCAGCAAACATTTATTTTCTGCTCATGTAAGCGGTTCGAGTTTAAGGATGAAAAGACCCATCCAGAAAATCGATCGATATCGCGACTATTTATAGATTCAAGCTAACAACCGGCTGTTTTTCGGTTTGCTGCGGCAACAGCTTCTTCAAATAATAACCAGTGATGATCTCAGCCATACAAGTGATATTTTGCTGACTTCGTCGGTTCTGCTAAGACCTCCTGAGGGTCACATCGAACCTTGCGTTGCCCTCGGTGGTTGCCTCAAGCAAATAGCAGCATCATGAATAAAATAACGAAGCACCCCGACAGGCTGCCACGTACAAATAACAGGGACAAAACGGATACACAAGCGAGTTTATTACATGCACTGAAAACTATGCTAAAAATGACTGTTCCATAAACCATCTTGAAGCATTATTATCATCAATTAAAAAACATTGTTTATACCGTTGTAAATTCGGAGAATAGTTTCGCACGCAAATTTGTACTGGGCAGAAGTCTGAATAAGCATCGCTCTTTGGTCCCTCATCGTCCGGACGATATCCAGCGGATAAACCGGTTCGTTCGCTTCAATAAGACACATAGCACTTTCAACAAGGATTAAAACACCAGTCCGTCCGATGCCAGCACTAAAACAAACAGACGTGTCACTGTAACAGAACGGAATAGGTCGAAATTCGTTTGTTTTCCAAATCAACAAACGAACTATAAACTAACAATCAGTTACAATATGGTTATTCATCATGATGATTCGTTATGCTAAAGCTACACAAGTGTTACAAGTTTGACGGCTCAGAATGTTCATATGCTCATCACATGTAGCTTGTTCCAATGTCTCAAACCAGGCAATACACAAAACTGGTTGATCAGGCAGTAAGATTTTTTGCCCTATCAGAAACCTACACCCATAAACGAAACATCCATCGACAAATAGTACATTTAATGTGCATATGAAGACTAACAAATATTTATCTATTTATCTAACGTCTCGATTGGCTGCCTATGTGAGCAGCAATCGATGGTATATGGTTCTCGATCTATGGTTCAAGGCAACAACTACGTAAATTGTTCACGACTATGTAAATTTCTTTACTCACCGACCTGTGGTTATATGACATATAAAACAGCACAAAAGTAAGAAGTGAGTTCTGAGTGACCATAGCAGTGGTTCCATTACAAGTTGACCGATGGACATTCTGGTAGTCATTCACACTATACGAGCTCGTACTTTCGTTAGACAGTTGGCTTTTGTTATCCAACGCGTGTAATATTCCTTAATTAATAGCGCAATGTTTGTTCTCGCTGTGTGAACAGCAGTGACACTCGTCCGACTAAAAAACAATGAAAACGATGCTACAATACTCAGCTGTCCCATTCCTCTGAGGTGTCAGATGTTCCGAAATTCTTTTTTACAATCTTCATACGGTTTTCTAAAAGCAGATATTGTCGAAGTCATGGCATCTGATCCTATAAACAACATTCATCTCTTTCTTTCTTCCAGGTCGATGAAGTTTCAAGCATATCTCCCATGCCAACAAACATTACAGACCAACTCATCAGGCTGAATATACAGAGACCGAGCAATTCTATTAGGATTTGGAAGGCGTAATCAAGTAGAAATCTACATTCTCGATTGAAGACCTCAACGTCGTGGTCAGGAAAGGAACGAGGGCTAATATGGAAAAGGCGAAAGAAATGAACGTAGAGATCGGTCGTCAAAAACAACCTTCCCCGTTTTTCAAAACGCTACAGTGGCGCAGTAGACAAAAAAGTCTTTTAACCAAATTAACTACGCAATGACGAATAAGAAACGAGTTATGTCCGAAATTCATGTTATAGGAGAGAACACATCTGTACAAAAACGGACCGTAGGCTTTGATGTTCCACGATTACGATCAATGCCGCAAAAGAGAAACAGATCAAGAGATCACCGATAAATAAAGGGACTGGTAGGACTGCGACCCGATACGGAAGCTTTCGTATAAAAGCTGTTATTGAACCTTAATGCAACCTTAATGCTGATTGGGACCATTTTGCGAATACTATCAAAACTGCCGTTTGAATATCAAACCGGACAACAAAATCGACGACACCAATAAATAGTAATCCGTAATAAATATTCTTACGTTGTCATAATAAGTTTGAAAACTACTCTGAATTCTGAACAAGGACCTGAATTAACGCTAAATTTCTTTATTCACGTTTTGATCCCTAAACAAATATAGCAACTTATTTCGGCTGGATTCAAACCCTAATGCAAATCCTGCACATTCATTCGTCATGATCGTCCTCTTCATTATCATCGCCACAATCATAAAAATTTCCACAACCATCATCGATCGTCCGTCTCGCATTCATCTGTCGACGTTATTAATCATTTAACTGGTGCGACTGTTGGTATACTAGAACTGACTTATAGAATAAACTTAAGAAATTCACTGTGAGTAAGAATTGTTCTTATTCAAATGAAAATTTGAGCAATCGCCCGTAATGTTCATTTGTGCCTTCTGTTTCTCGCCAAGTATTTAAACAACGGAAGGAAAAGAAAACATTCTACATAACTAACCCCTAAACCGATTATAAATAACGGCATAAAAGTCATTTCATCAATTATTCGTAATATCTTTAAATTTTTGCATTTTTGTTCTTTCTCATGTTATGACAAGCTTCAAGGACTGAATCTAAAAGAACGACTAAAGCAGTACAAACCAACCAGATGCCAACCAACCAGTATTTTAACAGTGGTCTTTGCACTTTCACTCCTTAATTTTCATTAACGGTTATTTAAATGCTGTTCTGTCTTCTAACTTTAGCTGGATCCAAGAAGACAGGTCAAAATAAAACAATAAACACAATGCAATTTAGTTTAAACACTCATAGTGATGCATGGCTCAGTCGCTGTCCTCTCGAACAAGCATTACTATACTATCCAAACTGCTAGTCCATTGAACTGGCATTGCGAGTTGGCTATGGAAGAAACTTTCAAGAAAACGGCTTCATTACAGCAATGGCGCAATTGGTTAGTAGATTGCTCTGCAAGACAGAAAGAAGCGCAACTGTCTCTTACCAATCGTGAATTACACTGAACAAGGAGTTCAACCCTCTCCCATTGTGCTTAGGTATAGTCAGCCAGAAAATTAATGGCAGGTCGTTGATCTGAGAACAATATGGAAAATACTATTCTGGTTTGGTCATGCCAGACCGTGTGAAACATATACCCGCCCATGCTGCGCATGTCGATCCGTGCGCTTTGCGGCTACAATTCACCTTGACCGATTAGATAACTGACTGAAAACAAGAATAAGGTGTAATCGTACATTTTTTTTAAAAATTATTCAGCGGCACTGAGAGTCGGAGATCGTTTTAAAAAGAAGTCTTAAAAATCGATTAGGTTAAAAACTATCCCCCGATCAAATGAATTGTGTCATTAAGTGATGCGCTGTTGAATGTTCAGGGATTACCTACAGTGCACAAACAGTGGTTCAACCATGCCTGCGCGGAAATGACGAACTTGGACGATGAAATCGATAATGTCCCTACTGTCTTCCGGCACTCCATGATCCGGCCAAGTAACATACTGCATATGAGTGACCAGTCGCTCTTCGCCGGTCTAAAACAGAAGCAGTATAATGCCTAACAAAAACTACTACCACGGCAAGTCCTGGTCACCTCCCTGTGGACGACCAAAATTTCGCGGATCGAACCGACTTTGGTCTCGCTTTCTTTCACGCACGTCACCTGAATTACGCCGTACTCCTGCGTTTCGTACAAATTCGGCCAGTACTGATGGCATTTGGCTCGGCCACGCTCCGTCGTCGCGGTCAACATGACGATTGTAGCGCACAGCTGCTCCCATACAACCTGAAAATCAGTAAGGTAGAGTACAGAGAAGGCGGCATGCACATGAAGCACGAAAGTTCTGAGCGAACCTGCCAGAAATCAGATGTAGTGTGCGGAAGTGGACCCTGGCCAGCGATATAACGATTAACAATGCCACTACCAGGGATTTCCATCTACAACAGTATAGCAATAAGCAAGCAAAAATAGTAATCATAGACAAACTGACATTTATATAACTAGCGTTTATGTAATCGCCGACATCGCTGTTCCTGATCACAACTCTGGTGTCGTCATCTACAAAGCAAACGTTCAGTAAACAAAAACTTCACTGGGGATACGCTGTAGTCGCTTGACTCGGACTTACATGGCGACACGTCGCGGTAACGGTTCTTCGAAGCGTTCTGCGGCTCGCGAGCGGCCTTCATCGACATCGCCGGTTTTCTTCGGTACAGTTTCTGCAACAGCGTCAGTCAACAAGAGGGGACATAAAAACGAACAAAAGTCGCTGTTAAACAACGACTTACCTCGAACTGAACGATGGCCGCTCCCGATGCCAAGCTATCTCTGAGCAGTAACAGAGACTGGTGCAAGATGTCGGACCTAGGAACGCAATCAGCGACCCGAGGGGCTTGAGGAACGAGCTG